CGAAACTTGACAAACGAACAGTTATTACAAAAATGACTCAAAAGACATTCAAATGGAGTCCAACGAGAAAGCCATCGAAACAACTGAAGAACTGTATGAAACGTATATTTGAAGCTGATCCAGACATCAGAATCAATACCAATCAATTATTGACACACGTTTGGGTCACTAATGAATCTAAATTGGATGACATTTCGATCACAGAAACAATTGAGCCACAAAAGTCTATACATTAATCATACAATTCTTAGTATTATATTTAAATATTTTTTTACAAATAATTTATATATAATCTGTATATTATATAATTTGCATTTTTAGTTTATGTGTTAAAATAAAATACATGTTATTATAGAGAATCTGTACTTTAAAAAGTTTGTACAAAATACAATTAATATAAATTTTTAAATGGTATCATTAATATTTATAAGTAAAATGCTATATTGGTACAGTATAATAAATTTGATAAAAATTATAACTAAAATTGTTTATTTTGTAAATTGAGGCATTTAAAGATCTATTTTGATAAGCATATAAAGCTGTATTGCCCTTTTGGACCATAAATACAATAATACAACTTAAATATTAATTTAACATAAATTGTGATGTCAAATGGTTTTTGTTAAATACTCGATATAATTATAAAATAAGTGATAACATTGAAAAAGATTGATAAAAGAGAAGATTTTTAATAATTTTTGCTGTAAACAAGATTTTCTACACTTTAATTGGTTCATATAAACAGAGATAACATAAAACTAAATCAATTGGTAATTATTTATCAATAAGTTAGCAATAAAGTGTCATAAATAAATTAAGAGTCAATTAAGAAATAATATCTTTGCCATTAATTATTGACAATTAAGTGGATTTAATTGCCGGAAATCTTTTAATATTTGTGTTAAAAATTTAACAATTGATTAATAAATTGACAAAATGGAGTGCAAATCAATTGATATGAATAAATGGATTGAAGAAAATAAAAATTATTTCCTTCCACCAATTTGTAACAAAATGATGTAATTCTTATAATTATGTCAAATATAATGTATGAAAAATAATCAATAGTTTGAATTGAAGGCACAATTGCCAGCTGAAGGTATTCTTCGTGGGCGGACCCAATCAACGCAAGGACTACCACATCGAAGAGGGCGAAGAGGTATACAAAAGTTTTCATTAGAAAACAATTACTATCAATAAATGTAATCAAATGTTTTTGTAGTTGTTTTATATGATTAAAGGAGACATGTGTTTGAAAGTGATTGAAAAGGGGAAACCGAAAGATGTGATTATAAGAGAGGGACAGGTATTCCTATTGGCCGCTAAAATACCTCACTCTCCGCAGCGATTCACAAATACTATCGGTTTGTAACATACAGTACAGTAGTAACCATTTAATTGATTGTTTGTAATAAATACAATT